GTGGCCACACAATCGAACAAGGTACTCCGCCGACCCCTCGTGGGTCTCTAGGCGCGTGAGATGGCTCACCCCCCATACCCCCCCCCCCCCCCATAGGGACCCCAAACCGGAGATTCGACCCCCCCCCCGGCCCCGGGGACCCAAGCCCGAACCCCCCCTCGGCCCCGGGGCACCCATGCCCGAACGCGCCATAAGGGAGCAGAGGGCCCCACAGCGCGCCAAAATCGCACCAACGGGCCCCCGAGACGGTCCAAGAACGCCCCGAATCGCCGAAAGATCGAGCCAAAACGCTCCAGATGGCATTCAGACGATCCCAGATGCCTCCAAGACGGTCCCAGACACGTCCAAAAAGCTTCAATCAAAATGCGACTAAGAGCGCCCCAAGAGGCCCCCAACAAGCAAAACTCATCCATTTTCTATGGGAAAACGTACCTTTGTGATATATATATATATATATATACACACACACACGGTTTTTGAGCTTCCACGGCGTCGACAACGGCCCCAGAAGCTCACGAGGCCGCGACAGGACGGCCCAAGAAACGCCCAAGAGGCCCCCACAAAGGCCCAAGAGGGCGCCAACACAGCCCAAGAGGCGCTCAAGACGGCACAAGATGGGCCCCAGGACAATCACACGAGGCCCCCCCCCCGTCGGCCCCGGGGCACCCATGCCCGAACGCGCCATGGGGGAGCAGAGGGCCCGACAACGCGCCAAAAGCGCACCAACGGGCCCCCGAGACGGTCCAAGAACGCCCCGAGTCGCCGAAAGATCAAACCGAGACGCGCCAGATGGCATTCAGACGATCTCAGACGCCCCCAAGACGGTCCCAAACGCGTCCAAAAGGCTTCAAAATGCGACGAAGAGGCGCCCCGAGAGGTCCCCAACAAGCAGAACTCAGCCATTTATCATGGGTAAACGTACCGTTATGATATATATATATATATATATGTATATATATATATACAAATATATAAACATATATATGTATCTATATATGTATACATATATACATATATATACATAAATATACATATACATATACATGTACATATACATATACATATACATACACATATACATATACATATACATCTACATCTACATATACACATACATATGCATACATGCATACATGCATACACACAAATGCATGTATATACATATATAGATATACAAAAAAATACATACAGACATACATACATACATACATACATCAATATGTATATATACATGTGTATATATATATATATATATATATATATATACACATGGTCTTTGAGCTTTCACGGCGTCGACAACGGTTTCAGAAGCTCACAAGACCGCCCCAGGACGGCCCAAGAAGCGCCCAAGAGGCCCCCACAAAGGCCCAAGAGGGCGCCAACACAGCCCAAGAGGCGCTCAAAGCGGCACAAAAGGGCCCCAAAACAACCCCAAGAAGGCCCCCCCTCGGCCCCGGGGCACCCATGCCCGAACGCGCCATGGGGGAGCAGAGGGCCCCACAACGCGCCAAAAGCGCACCAACGGGCCCCCGATACGGTCCAAGAGCGCCCCGACTCGCCGAAAGATCGAACCCCAGATGGCATTCAGACGATCTCCGACGCCTCCAAGACGGTCCCAGACGCGTCCACAAGGCTTTAATGTGCGACCAAGAGGCGCCCCAAGAGGTCCCCAACCAGCACAACTCAGCCATTTCCTATGGGAAAACGCACCTTTATTTTTTTATATATATATATATATATATATATATAATATATATATATATATATATATATATATATATGGCATACCGGAATAAAGCCCCAATCAAATTTCTGTTCGGGCTATAGGGCTATCGGGCTATAGGGCTATACGGCGATCGGACTTAGGGCTATGGGGCTATAGGGCTATAGGAGTGTGACCTATAGGGCCATAGGGTTATAGGGCTATGGGGCTATAGAGCTATATGGGCGATGGGGCTATAAGGCTATAGGGATGTAAGGCTATTGCGGCTATAAGGATACAAAGGTTTAAGGCTACAGGGCTATCGGGCTATACGGCTATAGGGTTATGGGGCTATAGGACCACTGGGCCATTGGGCACCCCCGGGCACCCGGGCACCCCCGGGCACCCGGGCACCCCCGGGCACGAGGGCACCCGGGCCCGGCCACCGAAACCGGCCACCCGGGCACCCCCAGGCACCCGGGCACCCGGCCCCGGCCACCGAAATCGGCCGCCGACCTCACCTCAGCTTTATATCCGCTAGGACCCCTACAGGAGCAAGCTCTGGTTGGGGAATATGCGGCCTTTGGGCTTTCACGGCGTCGACAACGGGCCCCCGGCCCGACACGGTCCAAAAACGCCCCGACTCGCCGAAGGATCGAGCCAAGACGCCCCAGATGGCATTCAGACGATCTCAGATGCCTCCAAGACGGTCCCAGACGCGTCCACAAGGCTTTAATATGCGGCCAAGAGGCGCCCCAAGAGGTCCCCAACGAGCCAAACTCATCCATTTCTGGAAGGAAAACGCACTGCTTTGATATATACATAACTATATATATTTATATATATATATGTACACATGTCTATATACACGTATATATATATGTACGGCATTTGAGCTTTCACGGCGTCGACCACGGCTCCAGAAACTCACGCGGCCGCGACAAGACGGCCCAAGAAACGCCCAAGAGGCCCCCACAAAGGCCCAAGAGGGCGCCAACACAGCCCAAGAGGCGCTCAAGACGGCGCAAGATGGGCCCCAAGACAACCCCACGAGGGCCCCCCCTCGGCCCCCGGGCACCCATGCCCGAACGCGCCATGGGGGAGCAGAGGGGCCCCACAACGCGCCAGAAGCGCACCAGCGGGCCCCCGAGACGGCCCAAGAACGCCCCGAGTCGCCGAAATATCGAGCCAAGACGCCCCAGATGGCATTCAGACGATCTCCGACGCCTCCAAGACGGTCCCAGACGCGTCCACAAGGCTTTAATGCGCGACCAGTAGGCGACCCAAGAGGTTCCCAACAAGCAAAACTCATCCATGGTCGATGGGAAAACGCACAATTTACTAGTTTTGTATTATCATTGGTATTATTACTATTATATATACACGACCTTTGAGCTTTCACGGGCTCGACAACGGCCCCAGAAGCTCACAGGGCCGCCCCAGGACGGCCCAAGAAGCGCCCAAGAGGCCCCCACACAGGCCCAAGAGGGCGCCAACGCAGCCCAAGAGGCGCTCAAGACGGCGCAAGATGGGCCCCGAGACAACCCCAAAAGGGCCCCCCCCCGGCCCCGGGGCACCCATGCCCGAACGCGCCACGGGGGGGCAGACGGCCCCACGACGGGCCAAAAGCGCACCAACGGGCCCCCGGGACGGTCCAAGAACGCCCCGAATCGCCGAAAAATCGAACCGAGACGCCCCAGATGGCACTCGGACGATCTCAGATGCTTCCGAGACGGCCCCAGACGCGCCCACAAGGCTTTAACATGCGACCAATGGGCGCCCCAAGAGGTCCCCAACATGCAAAGCTCACCCATTTCCCATGGGGAAACGCACCCCGCTGCTATAGACACGGTCTCTGAGCCCCCACGGCGTCGACAACGGCTCCAGAAACTCACAAGACCGCCCCGAGACGGCCCAAGAAGCGCCCAAGAGGCCCCCACGAAGGCCCAAGAGGGCGCAAACGCAGCCCCAGAACCGCTCAAAACTGCGCAAAAGGGCCCCGAGACAACCCCACGAGGGCCCCCCCTCGGCCCCCGGGGAACCCATGCCCGAACGCGCCACGGGGGAGCAGAGGGCCACGCGACGCGCCAAAATCGCACCAGCGGGCTCCCGAGACGGCCCAAGAACGCCCCGAGTCGCCGAAAGATCGAGCCAAGACGCCCCAGATGGCATTCAGACGATCTCAGATGCCTCCAAGACGGTCCCAGACGCGTCCACAAGGCTTTATTTAATACGCGGCCAAGAGGCGCCCCAAGAGGTCCCCAACGAGCCAAGCTCATTCATTTTCCATTGGAAAACGCACCTTTTTTGATACATACATATATATATATATATATATATATATATATACATATATATATATATATATAGACACTCCCCCCCCGCACATGGTCGTGCATAGTATCCCCTCCCTCATCTGCTCCATGCTCTCCGTCGCACTGCCTCATCCTCTTATCCTCCTTCCGCGGGGTGCGTTGGGGCCTGTCCCGTCAGTTGCCCCTCTCCTTGGGCGGCAAGGACAAAACGATCGACTGATCGACGTAATACTTTTTCTCGCTTTGCAAGCTTGCTTTCAGTCACTGCCTCGATGAGCGTGCCATCCATCCATCCATCAGCGGGGCAGTGCAACCTCGGGCTGAGGGCGGCGGCGGGGCACTGCCACCTCGGGCCGAGGGCGGCACGTTTTTTTAATATTTTTTCGCGCTGGATCCCCGTCCCTCTGCACCCTCAGGAGGGGAATGAGGATGCGGAGGAGAGGGATCAGGACAGTGAAGAACTCGATAATATGAGCGAGGAGGAAGAGGAGCTAGATAAGACGAGTGCGATCCCGACGATGATGGCGTGAATGATGATGACGATGATGATGATGATGACGATGGTGATAATGCTGATGATGATGACGATGACGATGACGATGGTGATGAGCAGGACTGCAGAGGCCGAGGAACTGAACACGCTGAGAAAAGGATCCTTTTGCACAAGCTCCCAAAAGGAACCCATTGTGCACAGGCTGTCAACAGGAATCCTTTTTGGACAGGCTCTCAATATGAAGCCATCTGTATAGCGTTGGATCCTTTCGTCGAAACTCTCAACAGGAAGCCTTTTTTTGCACAGGCTCCCGAGATAATTCCATTTGTATTGGGTTTCAATGAAGCATCCTTTGTGTAGAGGAATTCAACAGGAACTCTGGTTATAGAGGCTCTCAATAGGAAGCAGGTTGTAAAAGGCTCTCGATAAAAAGCCATGCGCACTGCGCTACAATACTAATATGTTTGTTTTGGTTTTCAATAGGAGTCCG